GTACCACTTATGCCTTGACAATTACAGTGTACTACTGCCATTGATCTACCGGCATTGCCGCCTTGACGCCAATGTACATTCACCTTTCTATACTACCTTTACCAGCCGCTGTCCTCTGCCATTTGCTTCCTGAAGCTGACCTTATGCAGAACTGTAGGGTTGTGAACTACTTACAAATCTTACAAACTTAGCCTAATCTACAATCTGTTGCTCGGTGCCAAACCTAGGCCCAATCCAAAACAAAGCCCTTGACTTTTTTAAAAAGTCAATCTTATCGGTGTGCAATAGCTTTAAACTTGCAACAGACAAATCGATGAAGTGCTCATCGTCGCAGAAGCTGACAACGTCACCTTTCTTGATACTGTTAGTTTTCCTTTGTAGCCTGACTTCCGGCTCCGCGCCCAGCAGCAGTACCAGCCTGCCACAGTGGTTACTGACACTGCGAGCTCTGTCCGCCGCCGGCGTATTATAAAACGGTGTCCTGCTTCGCTGCTCGGTCTTCACAGCGTTACTGGCTAGACATAGCAGTCGCAGCGCCATGACGTCCTTCCGTATATTCCTTTAGGACCGGTCTATTCGCTCGTTAGCTCGCCGACGTACAAAGCCTTACGAGCAGGTCGCAATTGTTACCGTCGGTTTCGTTCCCTTCGAGGTCTGCACGATCCGTCGCCATCTATCGTGGAGGTAATAACGGCAGTTACCCACCGCACCTGAATGGTTGTCCGAATATTGTAACACCTCGAGCGGCCGTCCACTACTTTGGACTGCATATTGACATGCTCAGTCATGGTGTCAGAGAAAATATATCAAGCGCCATGTGGCATCGTTGATCTGACACATGGCCCAATTCCATTTGGCCTTTTCTGACAAACGCACGCGCTATGACATCTGGGTGCCGTACCCTAGAATTCAAACTCTTCATTCGCGCTGTCATAGCCAACTTACCCGTCAAAGTGGCGCGTATCCAATACAATCGGCGCGCATCTCGCCGCGTGAACTGCCTCCAAAAAATAATCAATGAGCTCGTGCCCAACATGAGTCTGTAATTTGCTGACCTATTGGTTTAAAACTGTCGAACCAGAACTTCTATAGGTCCACTTAGGACCTCGCACTGAACTTTGAATGTCTGTAAGCTGGTTTCTTATTAGTCTCGTGCTACGCCAACAATAGTCATGAGCTACCACCCGACAAATCCAAGCCTGGTGACGCATAACGTAACGCTGGACGCGACGGTTAAGCCAGTCGCGGCACACTAACGATTTCCACGATCGCGATTCGGAAAGGGGCGCACTATTGGTCATTCTGGATGTGACGTCATGGCTAACGTGGTCACGTTGGCTCCGGATTTCTATCTCGTGAGCGTTAAATCCCGGTCGCCGGCAACAAACCTTTCCGCGTCGCTATTACAGGGAAAACGCCGAAATATGTACCGCGGCTGACGTCGTGCGCGTTGTCACGGAGTCGGTATGTAGGATCGGCTTCTGCTGTGTGACATCGTCGCTACGCTGAACTCTGGAAGCGCGTGACCCACTGCGCTGGTCGTTAACGTCAGTCTCTCTCAAATCTTGGTCAGTCACATCGGGTTTTTGCGGTCGAAACTACTGCAATCTTCAGTTTTCAAGTTAAAAGATCTCTTTCCTTTATAATCAAGGTCCAACGCCTCTGCCTGTCGACTTTGCTCTGGCCCTCTATGCGCCGCGACCTTTGGCCAGTAGTTCGCCTTCTTCTGGTTCTCCTTCATTGCTGGCCGCCATGGCTGGATCACCTCGATATCACCGAGGAACGCACGCGCGCGGATCCGTGTCTCTCGAGGCCTTCTAGCATATCGGGGTTAGAAGTATTGTCGCTGCGTTCTGCGGACTCCGCCTTCTTATTCAGCATTCTTCAACCCGAGTTTTAATGCACGACACGTGTGTCGTCTTTAATCTCATAAAAACTCTTGTAATACATCCTCAGCGTCTCGGCATTCGCTTCAGCATTTCCTGGCATCTTGCCATGCGCGACACATGAACTCTATCGTAGTGTCGGCATCCATCTGTAGATATTGTGTTACGGAACTTCCGATATAGACTGCGTGTCGATATCAGATATCGTCGATTAGCCTTTCTCTGGACAGAGTGACTTACGGCTTTGTCACTCGTACTGCTCTCTGCCTCATCCTACAGTCCAGCTCATACGGCGTATTCCTTTTGGGAGTTAGTTTTCTCTTCCCTCCGAACTTGACACCGCCGTTCACCTGTGCGACTGTGGCCATGGTTGATCATATCACCGGTTGTCGATCCTTCGCAAGAGTTGACTTTTGGGGTACCTTGCAGCCGATCCCATTATCCTCTGTGTTTCAATAAATGTTAGGTCGGTGTATGACCTCTCAAATCCAGCAAAACTAACTCTGCCTTTCCATATTCGCTTTAATCCTACACAAACGAGTTGACTGCCGAATACAAAACAAATCCAAACTTTAGCTCTCATACTCACAGTACCCAGGGGAAGCCACCACGTTGAGTGATACAACAGATTGCTTATTTACGGACACTGCTTCGACCGGAGCTATAGTCATAGTTGGGCCTAACAGTGAATTCCAGTTGGGAATTAAACCTACTTGTCACACAAATTACATAAATTTACTTAATATAGAGTGCGACTGCCTCTAGTTACTTTGTATAACCTAATAAACATGTGTAACTCAATAATGCGACGACACAAGGAACTTGTACATCACAAAACATTTATGTGAGCCTAGCTAATTCTAAGAATATTATCGTCACAATAATTACAACACAACACCAGATCATGGCCTTCGCCGACGTCGACATTCCTGGCTCTCCAGCTCGCGCAGGCCTCAGGAACCATATCTAGAACCCTTATCGCCACAATGACCAGGAGGCTGCTGCTACCTGATCGCACCCGCCAAGAAACCAATATCCTAGAAACACTATCCCACAATGGACCAGGAAGTGCTGCACCTGAAGTCACAATAATACTCAAAAAGCTGCAATAGGCTCTGGCGGCTTCCAATGCACGCGTCACCATGTAAAGCAAGTGTTCTCAGAAGGAGCCTCGAGAGGCATATTAGTGTATGGGCTGGTGTCGCCGATTGGCAGAGAATGCCCTTTGTTTATATTGCTTAAGCAGTGCTCGGTGCAAAAGTAAGAAAAAAAAGTGTGTTGCTCCAGCGGACAACCCCAGGACATATCAAATGCGGGTTGCCGCAACAATTTGCTGGTTGTTCCCAAAAAATATTGCCCCCAGAATCATACTGATTTTCAATCACATTAATATACGGATATCAGTAAACACCCCGAACAGATGGCCGATAGCCAGGATTTTTTAAACAAGGGGGCCAAAAACAAGCGAACTGCGCAAAATAGTGGATGACTTAATATTTATACTGGCTCCTCCGCCTCCCTTCCACACCTACCGACTCCTCTACCTTCAGCTTCTGCAATCTTTGTTTTGGCGCCCATAGCTCGAAAAAGGCGACATTTTTGTGTTCATTGTTCTCTGTCCGCTCCAAGATATGTAAGTTGTCTTCAGTGGCGGGTTGCTAGTGGATTCCATAGGAGGGGGGGTGTGTAAAAACAGGCGGGTGCGGGGTATGGGGGTCCCTCCGCAGAAAATGTTAATAAACGTTGCTGGTTGATGGGTTCCCAATCAAGTACGAACTCTTCATAACATCATGAAAATCCTGACACCATATACGCAGTGTTGGACAATAGGCAGCTGGTCCCATAATTTTTAATTTCCACGATTTAATTTCCGTGATTAAAGATTTCTTGATGTCAAGAGCTAAAAAACACACTCGGATTTGAATAGTAATGAAATGGGAACATATATTGTGCCAGCTAGCCTACACCAGTTCGTTGCATTGCATTGTCAGTTTCAGAATGCAAAATATTTGCAAAGCACAAAGTTATACACCATAGATAATTGGTCTATCTATAACACGAGTATCATAAGTGCATGCCGAGTCGGTTATGTGTTAGGGTTTACGGGCTTGGTTAGGACTAGACTAATGCCGACACAATGCAGGACAGATCGACGAGCCGAGAAGAAATTCATTAATTCCGTGCAGAAACAATATAGAATAAGTGCGTTTTTTTGTCACACTTTTTTCTTGATTGTCCACCGGACAATGTCTCAGACTGGTTAGGTTTTTGTCCGGGCACAAATATTCTTGGTTGTCTCGGACAACACGGACAACGCTGTATTTCGGAGGCACTGTCTGTAAGTCGTTGTACAGAAGTGAACCACTTGCAACATGGCATCAGCCATGTTTAGGATTCCTTTAATTATGCTGATAAGGGTCTCCAATGTCAAATCGTTTGTGTGATGCCTCATATCCATGAGTTATTGTGCAGAAAATAGATAGCTATCAGGAGTAGATAAAATAGATTCTAGAAATTAATAGATATGCTATAGTTATCTTACTCCCTGATAGTATGTGGTAGAGTATTGCACAACTAAAGTGCCAGAGACTTTTTTCTATTTTGAAATGAGCTCCTTCTGTAGTTTTATCTAACCATTCGCACTCGAGGAAGTGTATAAGTGCAATTTTTTAACGTTGTCATCCTTTATTTGTTTGGTTGTGTTGTCGAATCTTTTAGTTTCTGTTTTAGATTTGATGCAATAGTAACATATCCGCAAGAGTGTTCTGCATAACAAGTAATGTGACAGAACGTCTACCTGCACTAGTAGCTGTTAAAAATGACAGCCAGTATAGGTGCCAGCCAACATGCATTGCGTTCTTTCTGGAAAATATTTTCATGTCTCTGTAGCTTGCGCATTACTGGAGATCCTTACACTGTGGGTGCTCTGGCGAAAAAACGATTTAGGATTACCGCCCCTGTGGGAAGCTCCACATGTCGAGTAGTGTTAAACGTCAACCTTACAATAGATCCGGCAGAACGGTCACCTTCTGTCGCTTACGAAGGACGACAGAGGATGGTTATTTATTGGTAGAACAAGAGTTAGCGCTGTGAGCGAATCGGCAGTGCATGCATGTGACGGTCAGCAGCAGAACGGGCAGCGTGGCATCCGCTGCGCCAACATGCATTGCGAAGGCGAGGCCGGCCCTGGATCGCCAACTCACATACAGCGTGGCATTCTGCAACATCAAGCGAAGAAGATCCGCAAATGCTGCAGTGCGGAGACAAGCCAGCGCTGTGCTCTGTACCGACGACAGCGGCCGGGATGCGATGACGACAATCGACACACACTGTAAGTAGTACACAACCGTAAGAGAGAGGCGTAGTTCTAATCTCATTCCCAGGCAGTGATGGCTATTCTATCGAAAGCCTCAATGAACTATAGTGAACTTATACCTACTACCACCGCTAACTCTAAGTAACCTACTCGTTGTTGTTTACACGTTTGAGTTGTTAGCCTAGGATATGGTGTGTGGGATTTGATGAAGAGAGGCGCATGAGTTGTTAAGTGGCGTATGTGTGTAGAGATGCGGTTTTATAATTATACTTAATACAATTTACTTATACAGAAAGTAATGTCATGTATTGATATTTATGTTTTTATCGTGGTGCGGGTGTGTATTGTGCTGTATTACTTGAGAATTATTATTGCAGTCCATCAGATATTTTCTCTGAAAAAGGAACGTTTCATATCTGAATTATTTGTGTTGAAATTATATGCAGAATAAAGAGTTTAATAATAATATACTAGTTTATGGCGCTCTTTGATTTAACTAGTAGCTCTGATGGGTGCTTTGTCTCACACTGGTTGCCAACTGCTAAGTATATGTAAAGTGCATCAGAATGAAACTAGTACAAATGTCTTACGTCACATGTGATGTTCTAAGACTTAAACAATTGTGCGTCTGCCACTGATATTCACCAGGACGCTAGGGCAGAGAATTCTTCGCAAATTCTGATTGACAATGGACCGGGTGTATGTTGTACCTGTATGCCTCGTCATTAGCGTGTTCACCGCCATGCATCTCGCGCAATCAACAAGACCTCAGTGCTGTTTTGTCTCTATCTCTGTTCACTTGTGTATTATGCATCATTTCACCGCCTGCGCTTGTTTTCTACTTACATCAAAGGTTTAGATATCTCACGCAAAGGAATCGGCTTGCGGTGAGTGTTGAAAAGATAATATGTTCATGCTTTTCAGGCTTGAAACTAACCTAATAATGTTTCACTAGCCAGCAGGTAGTGACCTGAAAATCTACTAGCCTCTAAAATATCTTCCCAGTCCACTTACTTTTTCTGACAGTGCGCGCTGAGGCTACGCCAAGTGAGCGAAATTTTGCCATTTCGGGGGGGTGGTGGAAGGGGGTCGACGGTGGGTGGATCTGGGTTTTGATTTTAGACGCTCCGAATGCATTCTGCAAAATTCCTTGGACTGCTGAAAATTTAGATTCAGCATATATCTCAGTATATATATATATATATATCAGGAGCGATCTATAATGCAAAATATATATATTGAGTATTATATATTATTATATATCAATGAGCTAAATCAAATACTAGAGTGTCAACGGGAAATAGTCCATTCTCACGCGCAATATTAATTATTCTACTTTGTATGCGTTCAGTAGCCATCTTTGCTCTCGTAAAATAAGACCACCGCTTGTCTCTATACGATTACTCCTAAGCCGACGATATTGGGAGCTGTTAATCATGCTCCCACAGGCCTTCAGTAGAATAATATTGCCGTGAAATAGCACTATTTCCGCCAGTTTTTCCGGTCTGTACACTCTAAGGTGTATATTAGCTCTTTTGATATACTTACAATATATAACTTATATATATACCAAATACAGTCAGTACTATGTTATGATACGACAGAATAAATTCCCTTAATAGTAACGATCTAGAACGTATTATCAATCTACGGAAATCATGAAGAGTCATGTTTAATTTGAACCGTTTGTGACTATCTCTACTACTGGTTAGAATTCTCTAACTCAAGTACAGAGTTGTTAGTAGTAGTACAAGTACCAGTATAGAGTTATAGTAGAGTTATCCTGTGTTTAGTTTATTGAGATTGTTATAGTGTATTGCTTAGTTGACTGAATATAATTAAGTCGTGTTATGTAGTGTTGGATGAACATCGTATTAATAAAAGGCTTAGAATACCCAGTTACATGGAAATGTAGTTTAAAGAGGTTATTTTCATAACAGTACCTGACAAAACCATGACTACTATTCCACGTTAATTATAGACACAGAGACTGGATTGTATATTAACCAGGGTGATTCCAACTCCGTATAAGTAAATTTGAGTTTCTAATTTGATATTTAGCAACCGTCAAATTGAAATAATCTTCGTTTGAAAAGGGGAGGGATTGTAGTGTTTAACCCTGAGGTCAGCTGAAACGTAAACTAAGTTAACTAACCGTTCCACGAACGTAAACAGAAAGTAGAACAGAAACGTATTGCGTATATATACACTGTGAGGGGATTGGCATGAGCTTGTGAATAGAGCAGCATGGTGGTTGGACCGATTTTATTGTCTGAGGTACTGTGACTGTTTTAAGTTTAGGTTTTGCAATTTTATTATGTTTGCACACGCAAATTTTATATTACTTATTAGTTATTACTAGTTCGGTCGGGTTAGTAGTTGCTGAAAAAGTACTAGTAATATGTTATCTGGTAGGCATTCCCACTCGCCAACAGGGCTGGTCAGACCAGACATTCTACTAGCCCTTACTGATTTCTACTAGCCTCGGGCGAGCGTTAGTTTCAAGCCCTGCTTTTGAAAACTCAAAATTGAACATGTTTTTAAATTTTCAGTGAGAAAAAGAAATATTGTTTATTGATATCTGTTAGAGTTGCCGTTACTTACTCAATGCCACGTTTTATTGCGTCTATACAAAGACTGTGCGTTCTTTATGAGTATTATCAGATTCAAGATAATAAAGGATTAAATAATAAGAGATTCCTTATCTTACTCCTGGTATAATTATTATTATATGTATTGTTGTATTGTTTGACAGAGGCGGTTGTTAAATGCGGCGAAGAAGGCTCTGACGAGGATTCCAGTAAGGACCCTTAAAGCTGGGGACCAGGTCGGTGAATGTCGGTTGTGTGATTCCCCAAAATTGAGGGTCTTTGTGGGATAGTCGGTTGACAGTAAACATTTTGGCCTTTACTAATTTCTCAGTTAGTATAGCCATTTCTTGTTAAGTTTTGTTAATTAAGGTATTAAAAACAAGGTGAAAACAGAAGTCTGAATTGTGTACAGAAATCGAGGTAAACCTAAATTCACAGGAAATATCTTTAAAGGTGTTTCCATAATAATGTCAATTTGTGGAAAGGAATCCCGAATCTCAGCCAGTGGAAAATCTTGACTGGCATAAAAAATTATTGGTTTTCACTCAAATGTTGTAATACTTGGCCACTTTGTGTTTTATGCTATACCCCATCAATACCCCCATAATTGGATGCTAATATTCTAGCTTTCCTGACTATTATCTGTAAATTGGTTATTAATTGTGCCACGTATTTTTACTATTCAGTAGTCTTTGGAATTTAGGTAAATATATGAAAATTCTCATGAGGTCCTTTATGCTTAATACGAATGCTTTGTAAATTGTAGTGATAATATAGTGATATTCTAGTATATTTGTGCACAGTACACCTAATGAGCTTATAATCATTTAAAGTTGAAGTTATGAGGATATTAATAGTCCAGCTGTAATTGTTATTCAGTAATTTTGACCATAACAATCTTTATTGTTAATATGTGATTTGATATTATACATGTTATTTCATGATTATTATGCACACCACCATAATCATGCATTACCAACTCTCACGCATTGACCGTGAGATATCACAGCATTATTTTGCTGTGCGTGAGATATTGTAAGATCAGCGTGAGAGCGTGAGATTTGGTCAAAATGCGTGAGTCTCACGGTCAATGCGTGAGAGTTGGCAGCCCTAGCTGAGTGGATCAAAGGGCTTTAAATCAAGCATTATGATTAGTAAAACAACATATGACAAAATGACGAGGTATTCTTGAGACTCTTGTTTTTGATAATAGTGAAAAGAACTGATGCGAATAAAAATGAGTCGACAGTCTATTTTCACCCTTTTAGGTGGGAAATTCAAGTAAGCGGTTATTAGCTTGCAAGGGTCAGTTTTTTATGAGCAGTGGACGGTAGACTGGTTGTTTGTCTTAAATGTCGAGGCTGTTTAATGTCTGTTTTCGTTTAACTTGAACATAAATTCAATCTTTTTCACTTTAATAAAAAAAATTCAACACTTGGCCACTTCATGCCAGCTATGTATTGTTCCACATTGACAGTGGTTAGAGGAGAATCTCTGATCTAGGAGCAATGGACGCTGCCGTGCGGGACTTTGGTCCTGTTCGTATGAAAATTTTCCTTGGGTTATTTGCCAAAAAATATGGTAATTCCACAAAGCTACTTTTTGAATTGAACTGGTATGGAAGAGTATTCCGGTGGTCACATGGACTCCTGCACATGTCAAACCAGATTGTACGACAGTTAATCATGGAGTATTTGACTCCAAACACACATTATTTTGAACCCTGCTACATTACACACATTTATAAATGCTGTTGCGTACTACTAATATTGCCAATATACTGTGGGGGCACGTTTACCTTCATAGGTTTGTTAGTAACATTTTAATGAGGAATCACGACTTAAAAAGACATAATGTATTATTTACTGTACATACAATGTACCATCTATCCTTGCACATTACATTACACAGTAATAGTAATATCTTAATTTTTGAGTTATGTGGAATTAGGGTTAACCTTTGCATATAGAGCTTACGTAAGGATTTCTACAGGAAATACAGATGGAGTTTGACAGTTGCGCCGTGTGCATCGAAAACTTCAGAGCGGGGGATGTCATCAGAATACTACCATGCAAGTGAGTAACTATTCCATTAATTATGCTAGACTAACTACACAATGTTCTATGTGTACAACCAAAGAAAATATTACTATCTACAGTATTGCGTGTTGACACCCAATTTCAGCTTGCATAGAGCCATAAAAACGAATATAAGTGTTTCCTCTTCATTAATAAGATGTAGGCAGACTGTCTCACTAGTTTTTTTATTGAACGAACTGCTTTCCCTAAGTTATATATAGTAGTTATAGCACTCTCAGTTGTTTGACTGATTAAATCTGCCACCTGTTACCTACTGTGAGCTAATTTGGTTGACAACCAGAGACAATGCCAGTTATCAAGATGGATCTAGGTTTAATTAAAACTGATAAAATCTCATGCTCTTGGAATCTTATCATCGTACCACTTGGAAGGTGAGAAACTATATTCATGATATAGTCGTACTGATATGCATTAGTAAGGCTGATAGGGTCTATGTCCCCCGGGGTACTGCCGGAACGTACCCTGGGTACGGTCCGGTATACCGGAACGTACCCTGGTACTATATTATATGCCGGACCGTACCTCGCCTACTCCACTAACGAGTCTAGGGAGTCGCCTACGCCTACTCCCTAACCCGTACCCTGGGGGACATAGACCCTATGAGCATTAGTAAGTGCATAAAATGTTATGCATAGGTGTTTTAGTGCATAGTGAGGATTTATCTTTAATATTGAAATTTCTGATACTTATATTTTGTTGATAAATGACATCGTTTGCTATGTTATCTGCTGTCTTGTTTTAGCATTGCTCTACTCTTGCACTGTGTATTAGCTGTATGTTCCCAAACAGGAAATTTTGCACTAATCGTTAAGTTATTATTTGTGTCATATATAGAAAAAAAGAAATGAAACATATTTTAACGTTTAATAAATGAAATCTTTCATAGCCAAAGGTTCGCCAAACGTTCGTTTGCATTATAGATCACTTCTGAATTACAAAGTTTTGTTAAAATTCCTCTAACATTGTACACTGCTTACAGGTTGGGAGTTGAAACTTTAGCTATACAAAATTTTGTATGCAACTAATGAACGAATGTTATGCACTTTTAAGCACCGTTGTATATGGTTCGTTCAGTTTTGTTCCTTTTCTGATCATTATATTTCATGATTTTTGATATTCTATCTAAAGTAATCAGAGTTGCAGCATCACATTTCTATTGTTACTGCACTGTGCTATATTAATGAAGATAATTAAGTTGCGTGAATAAGATTAGGGTGGATTACTGAAAGCTGAATTTGAAATATGCCAAATCCTGAAAAATTTAAACTGGGTATGTTGGTAGCTTGTCTAGTAGGCCAAAATTTTGATGTAGTCATCTTCTATATTATCTGGTGGCATGCTAGAAGTGTACAAAATACATTGATATACGATGGAATGGATATATCCAAAGTTTAGATTGCCTCTGAATCATCTCTCACATAACCTTACACGTTCATTGACGTTCGTTCATTTTTGTAACATAACCTAATATCGCTGCTTTTATCATGTCGACTTTCTGCCTGACCAAATGTTTCCTCCCACATCACTATGCAAGGCAGATAGGTCAATCAGTTCACTTATTGTGCTATTTGTTTGCATTTTGCATTGCACACAACTTTGATGAATAAGCATGTTCATTTTATCTGAAGGCACATATTCCACAAGTCGTGTATCGACCCGTGGTTACTGGACCAGCGGACCTGTCCGATGTGCAAGTTAGATATAGTGAAAGCATACGGATGTACTGAACAGCTACAGGTATGATGTAAATTTCAGCATGCCAAAATCTATTGCGACACATGGATAGTCAAACCTGTAATAGTGGGCACCTACCTAAGGATATCAGGGGCGTGTACAGGATTTGTACCATGGGGGGGGGGTCTAACCGTAACCCAAAGTCCCAAACTTACGAGCACGCGAAGGGGGGGTCTGGGGGAGAAAATTTTTGAAATTAGCCCCCCTTAGATGCGTTTTCTGCGCGAGCGAAGTAGAACTTTGCAGTCTATCGAGAAGTATTTAGCTAGTAAAAAAGGGGAAGAATAGTGGTAGTCACACAGATCTATAATTTGTCATTTAGGCCTATTGCAATGTGAGAAAGTGATTATTTGATGTTGAGGATATTAGTAATAATTTCCCTTATATTTTCAAATCCCTATCAAGTTTGCTGACTGCTATGATATCGTTCAGTATTGAACAGAATTTCGATTATAAAAGTTTTGTACCAACTTTTCAAGGCAAATTATGGGGTGCGACTTATACACGAAAGCAATTTATACACGAGTAAATATGGTATATAATTGCACTGCTGTGATTAACCCTCGGTCTGTAACGTGCAAAATAAAGAGGAAAAAGTGCAACTGTCAGGGTGGCAGCACAATAGCGGGGTGTCATGTCAGTGGCCTAAAATAAAGAATTCGAAACCGACTGTTGTTTTATGAGAAATGTAAATGCATGCACTTACTATAATACTATCATAATATACCATAAAATTCTAGGGTGTTATTATCCCTTTAAAGTAATTGCATGGCATCTTTCTATATAGGGATTGCATTCCTTTTTTTTTCTCCTGGGGTGTTATTAATGCTCATAGGGTCTATGTCCCCCAGGGTACTGCCGGAACGTACCCTGGTCACTATTTGATATGGTTAGGATTAGGGTTCGGGTTAGGGTTAGCTAGGGAGTAGGCGTAGGCGACTCCCTAGACTTGTTAGTGGAGTAGGCGAGGTACGGTCCGGCATATTAGATAGTACCAGGGTACGTTCCGGTATACCGGACCGTACCCAGGGTACGTTGCGGCAGTACCCCGGCTGACATAGACCCTCTCAGCGTTATTAACGGTAATTGAATGTGTGCATTGGTACCAGTAATCCTAGTCGTGAAGCAGCTTATTCCCTAATAGTCTGCATGCAGTTGACCTATGCTGGAGCGAGATAAACATAAACCTCTAGGATATTCTTGCCAGGTCAGTCAAACTAACCCTGTTTGTACATGATAATGCACACGAATATGTTGGCCTATAGCACTGTATGGCTGTTGTTTGTAGGGTAGCAGCAGAATAAAGATTGCGCATAACTGGAAACTAAAACGCATCATTGCTAAGCATTGTTTTTAGAGTGCCACAGTGTGGCAATGTTGATTGGCTTGAGCCGTGTGCCCGGTGGATAGATCATTACCTTTTATGACCTGGTCATGTTAATAACCCCTCCCCTTGGCTTTTGTGTGATGTTATGTGTGATTTAGATTATATGTAAAGGTACATACACTTGAGGTACCTAGCTGCCCTGGTGTTGTCACTTGTCACTTCTTAAGTTAAAGGGATAGTTTA